AACAGAAGGGTTGTCTTTAGTACACAGTATATTCATAGCAATAAGGGCAAGCGAAACAAGATCATTTTATAGCAATTACTACTCGCGTGGGTGTCACTTTCTAAGATCGGTTGGGTGGGGTGAGCCGATTAAGCTGACCTAACCTACCGGTAAGTCCTGGTTTCTGCCTGGAGTTCGGTCACTGATATGCGTCCCCGGCGTCAACTTCTTTACATTTGTTCCATTTCAAAACTGTTATGATGCCGAGGAATGACTTTCCGTTTGAAGGCGATGCAAAGCCAGGGTGTTTGCAAAAGCCTAGAATGGGCCGTGTCAAAGAAAAAAATCTTAGTAAATCGACCGGTTGTGACCAGCAAAAAGGTACTGGTTTTTTAATTCATCAATGGCGGTCCGAGGCGCAAAACGACGATTTTATGCAAAATGGCGTGATCTGACGTGTACAGACGGGATGTTATACAAAAACGCGTCGACTAACTGGATATTCCTACAAGAAAATGACACTAACCTGTACGACCTACTCCACGGGAATGTCTCAACGGACAATTGAAAGGACGTAGACGGTCAGGGCTGCTTACTGTACGGTCACTGGTGTTGCCGTCTGAAAAAGTAGCGCAACCAACGCTATGTCACATTTAGAAGCTGTGTAAGCAAGAAGGGCTCCAAATCTTGGGTGCTTCAGTGCTATGAGGTGGTTTTCTTGTTGAAAAAATCGACCTTCAGTTTACCACCATAGTTTTGCTATGCTTTCATTTACTATAGTTGCATTAAACGACGTCATCAGTAAAGTATTCGCCCTGCTGAGAAAACTCAAAATGTGGAAGCCCTGCTCATGGTAAGATTCCTTCGGATAAATCGGTCCACACCACCCCAATACACCTTTCACTCCGCAGCACACCACACAACACGTGATGCTTCCATTTCTCGACACAATTTATGGTGGTACCACCAGGTGGAAGAGATACCACCGAGCTGCACTGTAAGTCGTCCTCTTCCGACCCGTGCTGTGGTCCGTCCCGTAGCATAGTTGGTTGGAACGCCGGCCTATGATTCGCCCACCAAGTGGCGGAGTGGGTTCGATTCTCTTCAGGCGATAATTGCCGCTGACTGGGACAGCCGACGGCCGGTGGCAGCGGCGCGCTGACGGTCAGGTAACGTCGCAGACCAGAGCGAGCCGTGCCGGCCCGTGGCAGCGGCGCGCTGACGGTCAGGTAACGTCGCAGACCAGAGCGAGCCGTGCCGGCCCGTGGCAGCGGCGCGCTGACGGTCAGGTGACGTGGGAAGCCAGGGCGAGCCGTGCCGAGCGCTGCGGCGCGTTAAGCTTTCCCTGTGAAATACTGACGTTGACTTAGAACTGAGCACCAGAAGGACATCCAATCAAAAACCTGTTGATTGGCAACAGCTTCTCTTCAAAAGCTTCTCAAAAGCTTTGCTTCGCCAGATTTGTACTGGCACCATTAGTGGCGTATCAGCCTTTCTGGTCGTAAATTATCCATTCTGGCTTGCTGATCCAGTATTTCGGTGAAAGCAGGGGCCATTCCGGTGGTCCAATTAATTTTTCCCGAAGCGTTTTATAAGGTGGTAAAATGGCGTAATACCTATTTCAACACGCCACCACTTCCCCGACACTGTGAGCCAGGAATAACTCCGGTCTCGTGCAGTACCTGGTAATGAGTATCCCTGCTCCTATGACTAGTACTATTCCTCAGGTGTATTCCTCAGGTTTCGGTGGTGGCGGTGGTAACACCGCCACCACCGAGCCCATGCCGACAGACGAGCCCCTATGCGAGTCAGTCTGCTTGAGAACATTTGTGAATCATTTGTGTACCGCCGGCACATAATTCAGCTGGGCACAAAGCTTCTGAGGCGCGTCCCTGTTACCACGCCACGAGGTCGGCGAACGGGGTCCATTGCTGATCAGCGAGCGAGTCAGCTGAATGAGGTTCCGTTTAGCGGAACGCCGACGTGGGACCGGGCTCGAGCACGTGATGTCCATACTGCAGCGGCGGTGACGGGAGAACAGCTGGCCAGATGTCAGGCGTTGACAGCAGTCGAAAACGTGCGGCAACGCCTGACATGGCTGTTAACAGCTATGGACACACGGCCGTTAACATGGAGTCAGGTTCAGGTTAACCAGCCGTGATTCAAACCGTTAACGGCGGTGAACACGGCTGTCTCCACTTCAATTGTCGCGGAAATGGGGACTGCACGTTTTGTGCACGCAGCGTCACGTAACCACGACCAATTTCATGATTTTTCGCCGCCACCCCCGCACCAAAACGGATGAAAGAAAGCCGCCACTGAAACGGACGCCGAGGGTCGTTATCAGACCAACAAGCGTATCCCCATGAGTATGAGATTCTGAGCGTCACAGGCAGCCAGTCTGCGCAAAGATGGTCCATTCCTTCGCCATCCCACGCGGAAAATGAAGCCGCCTCGTCACTGGCGCACTATATTACCTACCAGAAGGCCATACACGAGGGCCCGTACGCTGTGTCCTGGCCCAACACCCAATAAAGTCGGCTGCCCAGCGGTTGCCAACAAGTGCGCTCACTGAGATGGCCGTGCCTCGCATGCTGAGAGGATCGCTGCAGGAGCGGCCACTGGTGCCTGGTCGCCTCAGGTTAAATAGAGCCTCACTCGCGCGTGGGCGGCCGATGGCACCGATACAGTCCCGATCGAGACCCGTGGGTGTCCGTATGGTGCATGTGTGAATGTTTGGTATCGCAAATGTGGCAAGGGTGGTTGATTTGGCTCTGGGATTGGGACTGGGATTGAGATCGGAAGGTAGAACCGATTGGGCTCTGGGATCTGGATTGGGATTGAGATTAGAAGGTTGAACTGATTGAGCTCTGGGATCGGATTGGGATTGAAATTGGAAGGATAAACTGATTGGCTCTAGGATCGGGATTGCGATTGGAAGGCTGAACTGACTGGGCTCTGAGATCGGGACTGGGATTTAAATTGGAAGGCTGAACGATTGGGCTCTGGGATCGGGACTGGAATTGAGATCGGAATGTTGAACTGATTGAGCTCTGGACCGGCATTGGGATTGAGATCGAAAGATAGGATTGATTGGGCTCGTGCGTAAGTGCTCAGTCAGCTGTTCAGTCAGTCAGTCAGTCAATCAGTCAGCTCCGCGGCCTACGCTGAGCATGCGTATAGCGATGTAAGTGTAGTTCCAGTCATCACCAGCGCTGTCGTCATCACATGTCGCTCTAACTTTCACGCCAGTGGCAATTCTAGCTAGCATCTTGTTTAGGAAAACGGCAAAAGCATTGAAATGCCACCCGCAAACAATGGTAGGTCAGGGAAAAGGTCCATGAACCTAGAACATCTAGAGAAAAGGCTGGTACACGACAGATTCACAGATTCGCCACATGCAGTTGTATGACAATGGGACTCGACACATGTATAAGGAAGCTGTTCCATGGAGACGTCCCTCGCAACGTCAAGATACACCAGACACTTTCTGTAGCAGCCTCTACTAACGTTTGGTTTCGCACAGCTGCCGGTTGATCTGCAGCCTGCTCGCTCCCCATACCTTTATGTTATCTGCCGGCCTTCCCTCCCAACTATCTGGTCGGCTTCCAAACTTGGTGTGATGCACTCTCGGAGAAGTCCTCTGCCGTGTAAGAGTTCAGCCACACAGAGTTCACCCAACCACTTAGAATCATCACAAAAAATCTGCGTGAGCTAACGTATCAGGAGGCAATCACAATATTGGACCCTATTGTCGT